CTTTTCAGCCATTGAGAAAAGTAAAAGCTTTTCTTATGGAAATAATTCAAAAATGTTTTTTTTTTTACTTTTCCATTCATTTAATGTTTCTACGTATAAGATTACGCATTTTCTAGGTATACTTTTCAAACCAGCTTAAACTTTTTAATTGTTTGTTTGGGAAAATTAAAAAAAAAAAGCTTTAATACTTTTCCAGAATTTGAGAAAATACGTGGTTTGCGTAAAAATATTTTATGAAGCTTTTTTTAAGTAATTTTGCTATAAATGGGATTTTTGGTATATGTAAGAGTTTAGTTTTTCTGTGTATTTAAAATATACTACTCCTGCCTACCTTTAGTTCATACATTTTGAAAAATATTTCCGCTTCAAGATTGAATGAACTAAAAAAGTGAAGTGTATGACTACAACCAGCTCTTTTATAGAAAATCAAGCTTCGTCGTTTTTTTTTTAATTTTTTCCAAGAAAACTTTTTTTTTGAAAAAATTCAGAACAGCTTTTTTAAATTTATGAGGAAATATTGTGGAAAGCTTCGTCGCAATTTTATTAATTTGTTTAGAAATTTTTTCCACCAAGAAAAGTTTTTTTTCTGAAAAAGTTCAGAACAGCTCTTTTAAATTTTTGAGATAATACGACTTTCCCCTCTAAGATAAATGTAAAAAAATGCCCTTTTAACTGTATAATGCATTTTAAATTTTGATAAAACTAAGGCTTTTTGAATGTAAAACTTATTATTTCTTTTTTTTTTCAAGTTAGTTTAATTAATTTTTTGTTGAAAAGTCAGGCTTTGTAAAAATATTCTATTTTAAATTTTTTTTTAACAGATTTTTTGTCAAGTAAATTAAGTTATGTCTAGAAAAGTTGGTGAATTCTGTAAGAAATTTTTAGAATAGCCTTTTTTATTTTTCAGTAACTGTAGAAAGTAAAGTGTATACAATTCATTTTGCACAAAAAAATTCCAAAAATGTTTTTTAACTTTTTCAATTTGTTGTTTTTTTTTCTGAAAAAAGTAAAACTTTATGTATACAATTCAGACCATTTTCTTTTAACTTTTTTACTATCTTTTTAAGATACATATCTAAGTATTAAAACATCTGCTTTATTTTATTTTATATTTTTTTATTTTTTTATTAACTTTTATCAGCACGCAGAATTTAAAAAAATAGACATTTAAGATTTTGTTTTTTTTTTTTTGAATATAGTAAAATTCTTCAAGGAACATTTTGGACCTTTAACTGCTACCACAACGTGTCCTTTTGACCCTATTTGAAAGTTAAAGGATTAAAATGGTACACACAAATTTTGAACTACAAACTCTACTAGTAAGCGGTAAGCGAAAATATACTGCAGATTTAACCAGCTGTTAGACATAGCAAGTGCAAGTCCTTTTCAAAAGTCTGTCAAACTCACATGGCAACTCTTGGTTGGTTTGACAGCACTTGCGGCAAAAATTAAAATTGCTAGTGCAGCACGAGCAAGTTGAAATTATTTCTCGAAAGCGATTTGCATAATTTCAGTTGCAGTTACACCTTGCAATTTTTATTTCCGAAAGTGATGTCTGCAAATCTGCAAAAAGGACTTTCTGGCTGTTTACACGGGAAAGTAAACTTTCGCTTTTGCATTTTGACAGCAAAACGCGTAGAAAAAGCGCTTGCATTGTCACGTTTAACAGCACCTTAAGAGTAAATACATACATACATACATATATAATATTTCATGAAAAATAATAATATTCTTTACCAAAAAGACGAAACTTTAATCCTCTTAAAAAATATGATGCTGCATCTCATCTAAAACTAAATAAATAAATAAGTATTCGGTGCTAACACATCAGCACAGCTTCTACTCCAATTTGTGGTGAGCGTTGTGGTTTTATAAGAACCCTTTTCAAACAGAAATACCCTCGGAGATTTACCATTGCCCGGCCAGTGGCGACCGATATTTAAAACTATTTAATTTTTTTTTAATAAATATATTTAAAACTGGCGTAGTTTTTTTCATTTTTTTTTTATGTTTTTCAGATTTTTACTGGCTTTCAATGCCTTCATTTCAGAAACTTTTTTTTGGGAAGTTAAATTATTTCATAAAATACTATTTTTTTCTGTGTAAAAATTTCGAACATTAAAACATTTTAATATTTTTTTTTTTTAATTTCTCTCTGTGAAAATTAAAAAATCCTTTTTCCTTTTATAGTGGGCCCGCAAGTACACCTATATATGTATGTGTGTGTGTAGCTTTTTAACTTTTTTAAATTGATTTTTATATAAAATGGCACAGTTTTTAACCTTTTTTAGAAAATGTTTTTCAAATTTTTATTTTTTTCCAATTCCTTTATTTCAAAACCCTGTTTTTCTGGGAAGTTAAGTTATTTCATAAAATCCCAATTTTTTCTGTGTAAGATGTAAAATTTTTGTTTGCCTTTTAAAAAAATTGAGAAAAAATTTCAAACAAAAAAATCTTTTTACCTTCCTTTTATTAGCTTGGGATGTAACTATGTAATACAGATGCGCCTAAAAGATGCAGCGATTTCTATTCTCAAGTTACATACCTGCTGACCAGGCATGGGCAGAGAACGAGCACACGCTCAAAGAGCATGACCATCACGTGTACGCAATGTTGCCACAAAAAATTTACCAAATACTTCAAAAACAAACGAAAAATCCTCAAAATCCGAACAAATTACTCAAAATTTTCTTATTACAGATATGAGTATTGTGTACTGCATACTAGCGTGGGCCGAAAATCCGCTTTTTTTAGAATTTTTTGTTCGTAATAGCAAAAATATGGCTCATTATGCTTAAAAAAAAACAATCTGTGTGGAATTTGGAATTTTTTGGTCAATATCCTATCCTATCGCCCAAGTCCATCAAAGTTCAATATGCTCAAAAAATATAAATTAATAAACAAATTAATTAACATCTTCTTTTTACTAAAATTGCACTAATATTCTAAAGTATTAGTCCTACAGAATTTGGTATATGAACCTTTTTTGTAGAGAACCGAAGTTAGCTAAGAGAAAATTTTTTTTAGAACTTGAACTTTGATGGACTTGGGCGAGCCTAGGATATTGACCAAAAATTTTAACACTTCACAAAGATATTTTTCAGAGCATAATGAACCATATTTTTGCAATTACCAATCAAAATTCTAAAAAAAAACTGATTTTCGGCCCACGCTACTGCATACTATTTACAGGTTCAAATAAAGTATCACCGTTATTTTATTTATGCCTTGGTTTGTATATAATATTGCAGCAACTATGTCAGTGCTCAGTCTGGTCCTCAAGTCAGTCCTACACATTTTTAAACTACTAAATATACATTCTACTGAAGCATTAGAAAGGGCTATATTAGTAATGCAGATATATTTTTTTTTTTAATTGGGAAGCTTATATGAACCTAAGAATCTTTTAATTCAAAAACTTTTCCTATAATTTTCTAGATCTAATGAGGAGTCAATATGAATATCCTTATGATCGAACAATGCGTGTTCTCTCCATTCGTTACTGAGATTTTGCTAATTTATAATAAGTTGAAAATATAACGATGGAATGAAAAAAATTATCAATAACATTTTGAATATTTAACAGCAAATGCAGATGAGCGAAAAACACGAACACGACACAAGCGGCTTGTCAAACCAACGAAATATCCCTTTCCTTAAGCTATTTATGTTGTGAATGGGGGTGTTTGAAGGTTTGACAGCCGTTTGAGGGAAAAGTGAACGAAAATCAAAATTTTTTGATTTTCTGGCCGCCAGGTTTGAAGAATCTTTGACAAGCCACTTGTGTGGTGTATTTCGCTCTTTATAAAACTTCGGAAAGCTTTTTGTTCAAAAATTTGCGATTTAACAACTCTCTTGTGTAAAACATGGCTGCATTTGTTATCTGCAAATATATCGAGAGAAAATTCCTCAAAATAAAAATCCTCAAAAAATACTCAAGCGCACCCGAAATTCCTCACGTTTTGAGGAATTACTCACAAAGTGGCAACACTGCGTGTACGTATACACAAGCAAGAGCGTATACGATGAGAACGCGGCAGCAAGCAAAATGAATTAGGCACACTAACACATTCTCACTTTTAGCGATCGCTTGTTTGATGGTAGTGCCCACCTCTGCTGATGACAGTACGAATGGCAATTATAATAGGGAGGTTTTAGTTTTTTAAACTATAATTTTATTTTATTGATAACAAAATAAAGCTTTTTCTGTGCATATTTCTAAGAAATAATGCTTTTCGGTACGCAAATGTTTTGGAATTTCCCTTTTTATTTTTTTTTTTACAATTTATTCATTTTATTTTTTTTTTGTCAAAAAAAGCTTTTCTCAGGAAAGTTAAATTATTTCCCGAAAGTATAAGTTTTTTATATGTAAAATTTCAAAACGGCAATTTTCTTCAGGAATGGGGTGTTAGACTTGCCCCAGATAGCGAAAATTTACAATCAGAGTATTCATCTATACGCCTAAATGTCTCGCCAGTGTGTAAACCTCGTAAAAAAACCGGGTTTCCATACAAAATTCATCAAGTTTAGGAGTTTTACGTGACTGCGAGGCATTTACGCATTTAGATGAGTTGCCACAATATTTTTAATATTTTTTCTATTAGAAATTAGCAATCTCAATGTACGAGCATGTTTTCCGAAGTTACATTTTAAAAGTTCTTAAAATACAATTCTCAACTACAACTACAACTAATGCACCAATAAAGAAAGCTTTCTATACGCGCTTAGAGCAAAAGTGCACGCTGGTCGCCGATCGCTTTAGCCACGTACATATGTGGTATGTACATACATACTCTTCAAATACACAACGGATTTCTTGTAAAATTCAAATTTTTTTTTAGAGAATTATGAAAATTGTAAACCAACATTTTCTGCCAGCATTTAGCCACCAAAGGCGATCTGATATTTTCTCACTGCCTTTCATAAAATGCACATCACATCACAGTTTGAAGAAAAATCTACTTATTCTTTAAAATTTCTCGCCCTCCCACAAAACTTACCGTCGGCAATTTTCTTTTTAGGTAAAACGGCTTTAAATGCCGATACCGGCTGATAATCTTGCTGCGTTTGATCACTGCGTAGCTGTTGTTGTTGTTGTTGTTGGTGCTGCTGTTGTTGTACGCGCTGTTGTAGTAATTGCGTTGGATTTGGTATTGTTGTAGCCATATTAGAGCGCATATTTAAATCGCGCAAAGGCATGTTGCCTGTTGTGCTGCCGCCGCCGCCGCCACCTATGCCACTGGCGCTAACAAAATTGGTAGGAAAATCAGCGGCAACAGCAGGTTTAAAATTGCCCAAACTATAATCGAGCGGTAGATGGTGTTGCTGTTGCGCGGAGCATACACTTGTTGGCGGCAATGTGGCATGTGAATGCGGCTGTGGCTGTGGCGCCGCCGGCGCTTGCAGTGGCGTTGGTTGTGTGGCAGCCGACGGCGATTGCTGTAAATTCGATTCAATTTTTACAATTTCCATTTTTGGGAATGCAGAAAGCGGAGTTTTTGATTTCTTCTTTTTTTGTTTTTGGCTTTTGGTTTGATATCACAGAAACACTAAAAATATATATCTACCTATATTTTTTTAAGGGACAGCTGCACTTGCACTTTGCTTTATTATTTTTTAGTTTAGCAGCGCTTAGCTTAAATTTAGTTATTTAATAACGCACATTTGTGGAATGTTTCTCCTGGTTCGTTTCTAATGCGAAAATTTTGAATCTTTCGTTTTTTGTTCAATTTCCACTTTTTATTATCGCTTTTGACATCGCGCGCGTGACATTTTGTAAATTTTTACAGTCACTTATTCGCATTGCACTCACACACGAGCCTATCCGCCAGTTGGTTGGTGTGTCTTCAGCGTCGTCTAATGTACTAACAGTAAAATTAATCACTGCTTCAGTGGCTACCATCTGCAACGTCGCAAACTGAGTGAAACTGATTTCCCAAAACTGACTCTGAGACTTCTCGTTGTGCGCGTACGTACGCACACTTGTCGTCGTTATCGTCGTTGTTCGTTTTTGTGACGCGCCGTAACCCCCGCGCTAATGGCACTACTGTTGTCGCACTCCTCGTACCGCTGAACCTGCTGCGCTACAGCAGAGGTTGATGCTGTGTCACAGATATCCCATCAGAGTGCTGGCGCTAGCGCTGGCGATGGCAATGGTGGTTAGGCGCATAGAGCGCTTGAAAACTTTTGCGCGTAGAGCGGCGAGCAGACGCAAGAGGCGCATATGTGAATTCAGCGAGCGCACGAGATGAGTATGTACCGCGCGTTCCAAGTGCTGGCCACAATAGCGGCAATAACATCCCCACCCAATCCAAAAAGCCAATCCGACGCTTCCAATTGATGGGATTTTTCGACTTAGATTGGAAGAAATCAAGAAAGCCAACTAACGCTAACGACCGCTACGATGAGTGCGCTTGCGGAGGGTGGCGGTGTGCTGGTAGTTGGGGACGGCGCGCGCGACGTTTGCGGAGCGTTAACGCTGGCGCCAATAGGTCGTGAGGGGCAGTGTAGCCAGAAACTGCAGGCGTGTGCTGGTGAGAGCGCGCTTATATGTACATACATATAGTGGATATAAGTGAATAGAGCGAGCGCACGCGGGCACGTATGTAGAACAAAATTTCATCCGTATTTCAGTTCATATGCAACAAAAATCTGCGCTATGTAACGCGGCGCGATTTCCAGCGACGGCCGAACTGCGATTTGCATTTAAAACCAACCGTTCTGTGGCGACCACTGTGATACCGTTCGTTTGAGTGCGGCGCACTAACTGACCGAGTGTATAATGTACAAAAATATGTAGCGCGTATAGCGTAGGAACGATCACCCACATCGGTGAATGTGTGCGTAGCGCCCATCGTTGACTGCTTGCATTCCAGAGCCGCAAAACGCCGCCGTCGCCGCAGCGCGCAGTAAATATCACATAGCGCGCGTGCAATTGTAGCGATAACATCAACAACAACTCTGATACGAACATAAGAAAAGCAGCGAGCTGGCACTACCACCACCAACACCACTAAATCAGTGGTTGACAAACATCTAAACGCCCGCTGTTTCCGGCACCCTTGCGCGCGCGCTCCGCTTCCGCTTGCCTTTCATTCGCGCGCACGTTCCGACTCCATGTTTTCTGCGTCTAACGGTGTTAGGTGCGAGCGAGCGCACTATAGCGGCAACGGTTAATCTGCTAATTTCTTACTGATATAAGCGCACACTTTCCAATTGGAAGCACACTCAACGCCTGGTATTCCAATCGGAGCGCGCTCTCTGCCACAGCTCGCAATGGAAGACTGCTTCCAATTAAAGTTTCCATTGCTTTTGTTATTGCAATGCCGCATACTTTCGCTCTAGTAGTGGTGGTGTTTAAAGCTATTGCAATGTTCGACTGTGATTATTCCATGATTTGCTCTAGTGGTTGTTGTTGTCGCTATCACCCCTGTTGCACAGCCTTTGCGCTGACTGAACGACGCGTCGCCTGGCTGTATTGGAATTTCGGAACGCTGTGAAAATGGCACTAAAGTGTAAGTGAAACATAAACGCCATTGTTTCGGCTATGGTTTTTTGCGCTTCATATTGCTTTCGCTCTCTTTCGCGCTCGCGCTCGTATGCGCGCTGCTTAAAGATGACTGCCTGTTGCTTCGTTGACGCCCACTTTTCGATATGGTGGCTATAGATTTTTTGTCTTATCGCTTTGTTTTTCATTCAAGATTTTTCATATTTTTTATATTTTATAAATCACTTGTTTTCTATTTGCGCTCTACATGACTTTAATACACGCCCACACAATTGAGTTCTATAAAATATTGAAAATTGTAAGAATTTTAAGTGCTTATCAACTTCTTAATTATCGGATTTCCTTTTGATTTTATTTGCATTTATTGAATGAATGTATTTTCTTAGCCAGTTATAAACTGGTATAAAGCAATTACATAAGTGCAAATAAATTTTTTTTATCTGAAATATTTAAGACTTAATTCTCGGACATAACTAGTACAGTGGTTATCCAAACATATGGAACTCCATCTACGTTTCTCAAATTTTATCTATATCTTGTCAAAGGCTTATTTGAAAAATACTTTCGTTAGCTTTTTTAAAGATCGATATTTAGTCAACTCATTTCACTTTGAAATCTTCTGAAAATTACTTTTCGCTTAAGACAACTCCACACTTTTACAATTGCACCTGGTGGTGCATGGTTTTAAAAAGTGGCTTAAAATTGCCGCTTTTTAATTTTTTTTTTTAACTCGGGGGAAAGTTTCCGCAGCTGTTGATGCCGCGAACACTTCTGGATGTATCGAGGTGGTCTACACGCTAAAGCTTAAGCGTCAACTCAAGTGACTTGGAGCTTATCCTCTTTACGAGAAAGTATAAAATGCCTTCGGCTACTCCACCGGAGTTAAACGGCGTCCACTGGACTGCCGTCTATCGCTACAGCAGATGACCAAGCAGAACATAGTTCACCTCACTTGGGTCCTTGATCATTGGAATATGACATGACAGATGAACTTGCAAGGCAAAGCACGAGCAAACAGATAATTCCCGGTAAAGAACACATTGGTACCTATGCCATATGTCACTTGCAAGCTGCTACTTAGAATATTTGTGTACAAACAAGCTGAAGAAAAATGAAACCAAAGTACGACTTGTCGAATTTCCTGGCAGATGTGACATAAATGAGATCGCAAGCGGTCACGAAATTTATACGTTCTGATAGGAGAGGATATATCTAACGTTGTGGAGGCTCTCACCGGAGGAGGAAACGGTCTTACATCTGCTGTATAAAGCACGCTGCGGCATCTGGGATTACCGTTTTTGCGACGACGAATAGATACCATTTGTTTGTTTTTTACCAAGACGGTAACCATCTCGTTTACACCTTGAGGGTGGTTAAATCAAGGTTGACTTAAAAAAAGTTGGACGTATGTATATCAGTTTCTTCGGTTTTGCTAAAAACGCTAGAGAAACTGATAGACCTTTACATAAGAAACTCGATTCCTCGTGACTGTCCTTCAAGAGCTCAATATGATCATTGCAAGAAAAGGTCGTTGAATACCGCCCTGCACACATTGGTTAAGTGACCAGAGGCCTTCACGCATGAAGATTATGCAGGTGGGGCTTCTTCGATATCGAGGGGGGCCTTCAACAATGGTATTCCAGAGGTAATGGTCAAGTATATGTATATATATTTTGGGGGTTGAAACCAATCTAATAAGGCTTATGGTCTGATTATGGCAACTTAAGGTAACTTACGGCTCTCACTTAAAAATTCTGTTAAATGGATGTTTGCTTATAATTGAACCGCCGAGACTTAACGTAACTTAATGCGACGTCGAAATCTGTTTCATTTTGATTCTCTAAGTTCTACGTTCCGTTAAGTTAAGTTAAGTTCCCATAATCAGGCTTTCATCTACAGCTTACTTCGTGACAGAACTGTCGCGGCGGAGTAGGGGAGCGTCTGCACTCAGTGCAGAGTCAATAAGAGCACTCCCCAATTGGTGTTCTCCCTCCCTTGCTCTGGATTGCGGTTGTAAACGACCTTCTAGAAGAACTGGAAAAAGTGGGCTGTCGCTTGATCGCCTATGTAGATGATGTGGAACTTTTGGTTAAGGGCTGTCGTGGAAGCCGAACACTGAGGAAAGGGTAGGAAAGGTGTCGGTTGCTCTAGGGGAGCTTTCGGTAAAAGGTGGGGGCTCTCTCGCTCAAATTAATTCATTAGGTCTAGGAAACCAGATTTAATCCTATATTGTTTCAAGGAGCCCGTGTCTGGTGGAACTCACTAGAGAAGGCTACACATGTAAAACAGGAATTAGCGGAGCATTAGGAACCACACCTAAGAAGGAATTGTCGCAGCACGAACTGCTATAAAAAGGAAAAAAAAGACGTTTCTCTGTTGCAGCAAATGTTTTTATAGGGCACTTGAAAACACGTTACCTCTCAAAGGCTAGTGATGGGGGTTCTAACAGGTGCGATATTTTGCGGTATTCATGCGGTGAGATTAGGAATTCCAACTGATTCTTTTGTATCAGCTGTCAAGAGGAAGAGTGGAATCATCTCAACCCTTTCTTTTAGACTGTCCAATCTTCGCGAGGCTAAGATGGAAGCATTTTAACTCGCACTTCTGCACAAACACTGAGCTCTCAGGCATCGGAAATTAGCCGCATTCGAAATTTCGTAATCGGCTCGCGGTGTTAACTTAAATAACCCAACCTAAGCTGTACTTCTTTGAGCTATGAAATAGTTGGTCACATTAATCATAAGAGATCTGCAACTAAATATTATTTTATACAACGAAATTTTATTACTTTGGCTTTTGTTCCATATTTTTCGATCAATGAATTATAATTGTAATTATTACTAATTATTAACTATTTTAACGCTTTAGATGAATATTTTTGATGATAATTTTTGATAAAAAAAGCCTAAGCATTTTGCCACATTCTAACCGAAATAAACACAGTTTTTATCTTAAAGACTGGTAT